CCCCCCAAGAAAAAAAACCACCCTCGAAACAAATACACTATAAAAACAAGACCCATGAGGTAATTTTCAAACCATCCTCGTCTACAACAATAAATAACATCCGTAAAGATGTGAGCACAATGTCCAGCTGACTCTACAGATTAATACTATGAATGGTACAAGTCCATAGCTAACTCGAGTAGACGATCTATCTATTACAGGCCCAAGGTCAAAAGAATAAAAAGCAAGAGGAAGTCCATTTGACTATCCTCACAAAATCACATTCTGGAACATCACATGCTAAAATCCAAAAATGTTTCACCATCTATGATAATAAACCCCTATTCCAATTTCAACCCTTTCAATTTTGCACCAGTTACGCCACAAACCGGTGCACTGGACCAAAACTTGTACACACAAGCTTTGATTAAACCACTAAACATCAAGGGTGACAAGCCTGTGGCGAAAAGACAAAACAAAACACAAACCACTACAAACAAAACAAAATTTATAAGCATTCCAGCAAGGCATGCAGTCTACTGGGATGAGACGATACCTGACTGCCTCGAGTGTTCGAGTCTGTTTGTGAGAAGAAAAAAACTGAGGCAGACGCACACTGAAACACTGATGGTCTTGTTTGTTTGGAGTAAAGAGATTGAAGCACCACATCGCCACAATAATGGTCATTTAATGCAGGGAAAAGGTAAGACAGACAGAAACCACAGAAGGAAAGTACAGAAGTAGGACCTACCAGTGGCACCCTCCAACCACCCACTCACTGAAGGTCATTCAGTACAAGAAGGCTAAACGCAAAATAAGACACAGAAAGTTGTGGAGTTGTACGGAAAGTCATCCTGATAACTGTATTATTTTGTCAAGAAACAGGTTAGAAAGACGAATGACAAAACAAAAAGAAGTAGAAGGAACAGAGCACCCACCATCCATCCACATTTTAATAAAGACAAAGAGTAACAGAGAAGCAAACTGACACACTGGAAGCGACTTAGTGCTGTGGAAATAAAACATAACGCTGAGCAACAGACAGTATAGAATAAGTATAATAAGTGTTAAGTACCCTATATAAAGTAAGAGCTTTTCTTTGTTTGAGAAACGAGAATCATAGTACAATCATAGTAACTTAGTGAGGGGAAAAGTAGGACTGATCAACAGTAACACTGAAGGCAGAGAAAATAAGTAGGGCCTACCGCTGGCATCCTTACGCCCTTTCAACACTGCACGATTGCAAAAGGAGCTGGGCCTCTAAATTTATTGTACCTCATTCTCCAACTGGAATGAGCAATGTGAGTGGAAAGCCTTGCAAACTCTCCAAATAACCCAAGAACACCCATTAGGGGATCCAAACAAGGGTCATCCGTACTATGGCCCAGCATGACACCAACTGAGCTGACCGTGCACCCGTAACGGACAGGACTATGTTTATGTTTTAGTTTGAGTAAAGGGAACTACCTCCACACACTAACTTATGGCCCTTCGGAATTTGGAATTTGGACAAATCAAGATTATTTTTGTTTTAATGTACTTTTTTTTTTCACACAAATCAACACAACTTTGAAAAATCAAAACTGAGTGCAAAAACAACAGATACAGCGGCTATGTAGTTTTCCCAGGAAGTATTTCAGAACAATAAATACAACCAAAGAAAGACACAGAAGAAGAAGACCACACGAGAATGCCAAACAACACCTTCGGGATGAAGAAGATACACAATCTAGGAGTGATATCCTCCAATCACCCACAATAATTACTACCTAAAACCCTTGCTGCACTCCATTTCACAGTATTATAATTTGAATAAAATTAGTTGCTTTCATTTTATTTTTTTCTCATGTAAATTAATCACGATACAGAATAATAGGGAAAAGAAACTAGAATGTGGACAGAGGGAGGATTAAACAGTGTATATATATCGTTACATGTGGGTGTCTGATAATGAACCCAAGCCAATAAGTGTCAGCGTGTGCTTTGTACTGGCTTTTCCTGACATCATGATTTACTAGACCACTTTTGGCTCAGTTTACTGATATTCCACAAGTAAGTAAACTAATTGAATATGCGATGTGTGATGACTCTGAGACGGTGACAGGGTTACAAACAATAAGGGAAATATTTTGAGTCACCATCCCATGAGAAAGTTTACTAATTCAACACTACCCAGGTGAAAGTTGATTCCCTGTACACAGTGACAACATGACAATAATAATAGAAATTGAGGTGCGAGTTGAAACCATTACATAAAAAGACACATTATAATTGACGGTACATGCCACTGCATGCTAAGCTGGAGGTACGTGTGAATAATAAATTATGCACTTTATAATCTATGCACATAAACATCACTGTAACACCACTGTGACAACAATCATTTCTGTAGGTGCTTTTTGTGATGAGCATAACAACCAAGCTACGTGTTACATACATGATGTGCCAATTAATTACAAACGTGGCCTGTGCCTCAATACCAAAAGAAAGTATTTGTGCACTGAAATCCCTCAAAAGTGCTGACACGTTCAACAAAAGACTTTTTGATCACATGAGAGAGAGAGAGGAGTGTGTGTTCCTTACAGATGATTTTACTTTCCAGTAACTTTGTTTCGATTGAGTTCGAGTTAAAAAACCATATCAACACAATAACAGTTTTTCAGTGCGGCGAAAAGCAAGATGGACAGACAGAAACAACAGAAAAGAAAGAAAAGAAGTAGGACCAACCAGTGGCACCCTCCAACCACCCACTTGCTTACTTTCCATTTAGTATTTAGGCCAGTCTTTAAAAACACATCTATCACAAACTTTTCAATACTGACATCCAGCACAGACATATGGGGCAGTGTACCAAACTTTCACAGGTCTGCTCATACAGAGGTTTACGGAAATTATGAAGCATAAGACAAGACAAACATAACTTGATTCATGTGTTTTTTAAGACCATATATATCCCTTTTTAAAGAGTCAAATCCACCTCAAACTGAACTTAGAGAATAACAACAGAAATTAAGTCTGTGTATCCTTTTTCTCCATTTCAAATTTTTTTTTCTCCCTCTCTGTCCTAAAAGTTGTGTGAACAAAAAAAAAACAACTATTGCAGGCCTATCTACATGCAGTCAAACCTGCTTTTATGGCCACCTGTATAAGACATTCACCTGTTCAAACGGCCCACTTCCGATTTCCCTCTTGCGTTTTTAATAATATCCTAATAAAACTGTGTAAGACGTCTACCTGTTTACGTTGACCACACTAGAGATGTATAATATACACAAAATCCCCTCATCCTCTCAAAAGAGATACTCTTACAAAACAGATTATTGATGCCAGACATCCATTTTTGTTTTATAAGCATATATATTAATGCATGACCATATTGCCAAATAAGATGAAAATCTATATACCATCAATTTTAAAAGACTAAATTTGCCTTTTCACTTTTCCATCAGTCTACAAAAAGAATTCTCAGTTCAAAAACATGTCTTACTTCTGCAGTTGCTTGAAACCTATTCTCTTATACATTTTATTTTATCTAATTTTTATGAAGTAAAGCACGTGCATATTTCAATTTAGACATCTCTCAAGGAAAGGGCTCATCACAGAACAGGTTTTTCAATAAATTGGATTAAAAGGTCAGAGGATGTCAGTTTTAAAATTTTCTGAAAAGCTTGGATTTGTCCCCCATTTGTCGTAATTTAACACAACTGAGTGTGCTCAGTTATTCGAGTTAAGTAACAGACAATTATATATCAGATCTACTTAAACTTAAAGAGAAATATAAACTTTCCTACAAATCAATAAATGTAAGATATCAGCATATTATTTAAAATCATATTAATTAATGCCTGTTTCATGCACAGAAAACTTTTCGTAAATACTTTGGCGGTTTTACAAGGAAGTCCTTTGTGGATCTTACAATTTTCAAGCTGAATATTGTTGTGAAAGAAAACCTTGTGCAAACATATCATTCTTAACTTGGTATTTCGACTTTCCACTCCATCATTCCAAGTGCCGATAAAAAAAATAATTCAAAATCGTAAGAAAAAATTCTTTAAAAACACAACCATTACATCAGTTTGTTTTGAACTTGAAAATGCTAAACCCCGAGAGAGATTTCGGACAGTCTTATTTGACAACATGCCATAAACAACTCTTTACTTTCCAGTCAGTGAATTAGTTCAGTGCCTGTTTATGAACAATTAACTGTCAGTATGATTCATATTCATGTTATATATAATGGATTTAGGGTAAATGGATACATCATCATGCTCCCAGTGGTAGTTTTAATTCAGTTTGAGTACATAATAACAGTCTTTAAGTTCATAGAAATAGCAAGACTGACAGATAGAAACAACAGTACGAGTGTAAAGAAGTACGACCTTCCAGTGGCACCCACCAACCACCCGCCCCAATGGGGTAGAAGACAACTGATATCTCATATCAAAGAACTTAAAGCTTTGACCACACATCTTAAGGATTGATTTATTTCTCAAGCCTAAAGAGAAAACAACCACTGATTCAATTGCCAAAAAAAAAAGCATTAGCTTGAAAAGGGACGAACGGGGCCCCATCCTTTCATCTATTTTGTACTGCAATCAAGAGACAACAAAAACACTGAAGCGTTGTCTTCCATTAAAGAACCCTTAGGTACTCTCCATCACTTAAGCTTGCACCTGTCATAACAATAACATTGATTCTAGGATAAAAACTTATTTCAATTTCATTTTAAGAAGGAAGGTCAAAATCAATTATTAAAACATATTAATTCTAGAGTTCAATATATAAAATGGATTTCAAACTGCGAGATAAATAACACTTGTTCACTCATTTTTTGAGTGTCAATCTTTGTTTTAAGAAAATTAGATGAAAAAACGGGAGAAAAGCTTTCACTAACCTATTCTTTTCTAATTTACAAATGTTACAATTTTCCAACATTCTTTGCCGACTTTTCCAAATCCAAGAGGTGTGTTGGTACAACATGATTTCACCAGCAAGACCAGTATCAATGTTGGGACACATGTACAAGCTTTATACAATCTTGGGGACTTCCCAGTACACAAGTGAGGAAATTTCCAAAGCTTGGGCACAAAAGAAAACAAAACTGTCAACATCACACTGAGAACAGAAGCCTCACGTTACTGAAACTCCATGCAATCGGTGAAACAGAAAGCAGCAGACCTCACAAACACACAAACCTACTTTTGTAACATCATCATTGCGGACCGGTATCTCTGGCTTCATTACGACCTCGTGCTAAAACTAATGCTTACAATAAGTGTGTATATTATAGTCACCTGTACAACAATTAGCCTGAGCAAAGTGTATTTCTTTTCACAACTGCACTTAAAGCTGACAACATTCTGTGAGAAAGTGTAATCTGCAGCTGTGCGCATAACTAGCACAGGGAAACGAGACAAAAAACAAAAACTTGCATGTAAAAAAAAAATCTATGCAAAGAAACATATGCTGAAGCTTGCAGTGAACTATAAAGGAATTAAAACAGCTGCTGTATAATAAGGCCAAGTAACGAAACAAAAGGGCGGGATAAAATAAAAACCCAACAGGATTCACATTAGTTGGTGAGTGCGGCATTGACAGAACTCCACCTTCGTACCAGGCTACTTGAAACATAATGAAAGGGGAGTACCAAACTAGTAATAAAGTAAGATAGTTTATACACTCCAGCAAAAGCCAACATTTACAGACAAATGCTCAACTCGTTTTACCATAAAAGACTCAGCATCAACAAAATGGTCCTCCTCTTCATCATCCTCCTATGGAAATTAGTTCAAATGATAAATTTATGAAGTTACTACCTGTGAATATAAAGCTTAATCAACTGACGACTACAGTGAAAAATTCTGTAATGTCTCAGCTCCACTACAATTCTCATACTCAAACATCTCTTCAAGAAATTTTAAAAGCACTGAAGCCTGAACTTAATTTGAACACTTAGAATGGGTCCTAAAAATGTTTGTTTTTTTAAACAATGTAAAAAACTTGTAAAGTAAAGAATCTTTGAATGCTTCAAAGTGAAGTGAGAAGTGAATGCGAGCATTTCAAACGAAAACTTGAGGAGAGGAAAAGAAAACAACAGGTCCCATGACGATAAATGTGAACCGTTTTTATGAGTAAATAAAAACAGTGCCAAGAAGAGGAAAAGGGTGGTGAAGGTAGTATGGGGGAGGGGGGAGGGGGGAGAAAAAGGGCCCAATGACAGAGAACCATGGTTAGAAGAACATATCATAAAGGAAAACTTCTCTGGTACAATCTCAACACTCTTTGTATGAGTCATTAGTATTAAAAAAAACAAGTGATGAGCTTCAAAAGTAAAGACGGGTGAACATAAAAAATCCAATCTCTTAAGGGACAAAAAAATTAACAAAACGAACCAATAGAAAAACACACAGCGATTTTCAGATGCACAATAGGACACGATTAAACGTAAAAATCATAAATGAAAGAACCATGGAGACAGTGTCTTAAATGCAACCCTTAACGCCCTAGGATGATTTCATGGCCCTAGCAATTTTCATATTTTGTGTAAACAGAAGGGAAAAAAATTCCTATTTGATATTCTTTTTTCGACTAAGTCAAAATCTTTTTTCGACTAGGTCAAAATGACTTCTCATAACCTGGAAATTTGTTGGAAATCTTTGATAGAAAGGTGGTAGGCCAAGGTGTAAAGAATGCTATATTGGAAGAGTTTGATCATTGCCTTAAACTGACTATAAACCCTTCTCATTACTGTAGCACTTTCACATACTGTCACACACTTCAACTCAAACTCAGGTTTCCTATTTCACCCCTTCCCTAACATTTCTTCATTGAAATAATGTTTAACAAGAAAACAGGGCAAATTTAGGATTACTTATACAGGATACATCTTCAACCCTCTCTATAACTAGATGTAATAATAAATAGCATTTGTATATTACAAGCGGGCCCATAACTGCATTTGAACCCATGAACTTACGGTTGCAAGTTCGAGAGCCTAACCACTAAACTTCTACCCCACAATCCAGATTTCCCTCAAATAGGCAATTGAGTTAGCCTTTAACTTTAAAAAACTATTTTCTGTTCTCTACTAAAATTCAAAGGCAGTCAAGAGTAGGTTCTTTAACCTACAGAGCCACCTACAAAGCCACCTATTAAAATATAGTGTCCCTCATCTTTCACACGGCCCCTACCCAGTTTTAGGAAATCCTCTTAAACCATTTACACTGAGAAGTTTTTGGCCAAGCCACTGCATCTTTACCAGCACAATCTGCAAACAAGACCTTTTTCGGCACGATCCAAAACGTTTGTGAACACTCGTTCCCCCTACTCTGTAACAAAGGGTCCGAAGAAAACCCTTAGTGAAAGCTCAAAGCTGGCATGTCCCCTACTTTGGTAAGAGGGAAAAGAATTGTGCCTCTTGACTAACAAGCTTCCCAATTATAAAGCAAAAGAAAGCAGAAAAAAGAGCTCTCACTTAAAGCTCAATCTTCAAGAATATCAGTAATTTCTGTAGCTAAATTTATTTTAAATATAAATTATTCAGGAGGTGGGCAGCTTCAATCTTTACGACAAGGGCAAATTTGGGTGGAAGAATGCATTCCAACCAAAAGGGGAGAGTCCTCGATAAAATAACTTTCCCAACTCTTGAGTCTATTTCAAGTCTTTTATGAAAAAGGCAAAAAGCCTTACCCTAACATAACAGATGGCTTCATTTAAGAAATTCCAATCCGAAACAAAAGAAAAAGCTAGAAAAGTAAACTACAGAAAAAGGCACAGGAAGGACATCTCCAACACAAATGGTGCTCTCTCTGTAAAACTTTTCAAACACACAAAAAAAGAGTAGCCAACAACAAACTCATTTAACAAAACATGAAAAATGAAACTTTTTTTCCGAATGAAAACACAAATAATGACGACATTAAAAAGACAGGGACGAAAAGATCTCAGCAGTATATACCTCTCGATACTGCTCCACCTTCATCTCCTTTGGTACGCAGAGAGAGGAAGAGAAGTCATAACATTACACCAAACCTTTGTGATGTCAACATTTTCTGGATTGTAGCGGACGCAGACATATCATACTTTCATAAGATAAATTTCAATAGCAGGCCTCCGAACTAAGCACAATCAAAAATCCTACTGAAAACTAATATTTCCCAACGATTTTCAGTTAATAGCTGGCCTTTCTCATGTACAGGCTTTAAAAAGTAATTAAAACATTTCCGTTTCAGTCAACTGATTCAAACAAACACTAAGAAAGAAAATTGTGTGCCAAAATATGCTGGTCACTGAACTGCTGCAAGCAGCAACAGAATGTTTTGAAAGCATAAACTTGTCGACTTTTGTAAAAAGCAAACATCATCAACAGAAACAGCATAATATCATATGAATCTTTATGCCTTTGTATTACACAAAATACTTATCAAGGAGTAATTTTTCTGAACAGGTGACTCTTCATATCACTACTCTGCAAGACTTTAAATTAAAGTCTTAAAGTACTGTTCATCAAGAATTTAAAATGTTATTTAACAAAGATGAAAAAGAAAATGATATACTATTACCAACAACATGAGAATATTTAAAAGCCACAGCCTTTATCGTAGAGACAGGGCTTCTGATCCGTCACAGTAATCTTTATTGGAATTACAGTGGAGGAAGATTAAAAATAATACAAAGAACAGAGACTCAAATCCTTAGACAAAGATACAGAGGTGAATGACAAAGAATTTCAAGTAAAGAGAAACACATCAACAAAAGAGTTTGAAAAAAAAAACAATTACAGAATTACAGACAGCAACAAGGGAAAGAAAGAAAAGAAGTAAGACCTACCAACAGCAGAGGCATCCTCCAACCACCTACCCATCCCCCCCCCCAATAATAAAGAAAAGGGATACAGAGCACTGCTATAGACAGTACAAAGGGATGGTACAGGAGAAAAGGGAAAAATCTTTCCACGGCATAAAAACAAGAGGTCTCTCTCATGGTGACAATGGAACGGGGTGTGATACTGGTAGAAGCCTGCTGTAAATTAGTTTGACGATGGCCGTATACCCCCCTCCAAAAAAAAAAAATTTTTTTAATAAATAAACCGCACAGCAAGTGTCCGCCAAACACCCTGACAACACAACCGATGTACAGATGTAACACTGAAGAGAACAAGACGTTCTCTGACACATAAAAACAATCATCATCAACTATAACTTAAGCCTGTGTCACATCCACACAAAAGCAGACTGGTCATCAGCCAAGTGGACAAAACTACCACACAGTGAGTATAAAACTACTTCACAGTACTAATGAAACTATCTCACAGTACTCGTATACTATCTCACAGTACGCATAAAACTGTCTCAGAGAGTTTACAAAACTATCTCATAGCACTCATAAAACTCTAACAGTACTCATAAAACTTTTCCACAATAGGCCTATTCATAAAACTATCTCATAGGGTTTATAACGTGATTTCACAGTATTCATAAAACCATCTCAGAGTACTCATAAAACTATCTCAGAGGATTTATAAAACTATCTCACAGTCACTACAAATAGCATGGGCTGCATTGCAACAAGTTGAAACTTCCAGATTATCTTCATATTATTATAAATATGACAACACAATAATATGGAGTGGAGTAATGGTCTGATATGAAAAATCACAAACACATCAAAATGTATATATGGGTGCCACAGTATTTATAGAAATCTTTCCACAAATGTCACCCTATTTTGCCACAAGCACTTACAGAGCGCTGTTTGTTTTTAAAAGAGAGAGAAAGGAGTCAAATCAAGTACACAACAAAGGCTTTTAAATATCAATCCACGCGGAGCAGAAAGTTTCTGTTTCCCCTTTGGTATCAATATAGGTGTAGCTCTATGACAAAGCCTCTAAGCTTTATGTTAAATGGCTCTTACATAAAAGGTTTTAAAAATTCAATCTCATCAACATTACTACTGTCTACAATACCTAATCTAGATTTAGGAATAGCAATAATTTCATGATCAATCTAACTGATGTATTAAAGACTTGTTCAGAAAATTATTTTAAAACTAGCCGGACTGATCTTGCTGGCAAGAACAGTCACAGTGGCAAAAAAAAAGCAAGGCATCGCACAACTAGTAGGGTTATTACTGAATACAGAATCCCTCAAAAGCAAAGCCAGAAATTGTCTACATAGTGTTATCATAGTACCCTGGTATATTTAACAGCCAAATCCCTGCAATAATGAGTACAACAAGTAAAAGAAAAAGAAAATGATCTAAAAACTCTCAGGTAAAAAAGCATTTAATGCAGATTAGAAGGGCACTCCCCACATGTTTTCACCACAAAACAAAATTAGATGGAAGGTGCTTACCTCTTTTCCATACTCCACAGGCAGGTTCTGATGAGATCTGCCCCCTACAAAGACAATGAGAATGTAAATAATTAACAACTTTTGCAAATGCCACATTAGAATATAGGGAATGTGGTCTTGGGGATGACACACAATACGTTCCATGATTTTACTCCAAATAAGAAAATGAGAGAACAAATATTCAGTTATAACTTAATTAAGTGTATTGTCATTTATATACATGTACACCTCTGAAGATGTACAAGAATTCACTATGTTGACAACTCTCCTTTATAGACATACAAAGCATTCCACTATCAATAACATATCTATTTCTATCTCTGCGGATTGCCAAGAAGCCATCTGCAGGTGGGTGTATAGAGGGAAATTTAAGGTACAGTATCTTTCCAATACATACAAAGTAGCAATGAACTCAAAACTTTATAAGCAAATCCTAACAAACTCACAAGTTTATTAATGCAAATCTGCTGCAATGCCACTTGACACTACAACACTCTAAAAATGTAAATTCAGAAGGTAAAATGTTCTGTACAATTAACCCTTCAACTGTATTTTTTTTTAAGTTTACACTTTACAAGCTGGATTATCACACATACTTGAAAGCAAATGCTCACAATCACATCGAGTTACAGCTATTGTGAAACTGTACAAGGCTGTACCTACAAAAGATGTACACATCAGTCTTCCACTCTATTAACTTTTTTCGAACATTTTACCTTTAGAATCTCCATTAGATCTGGAATCACCAAAAGCTCCTTTTTCTCCATTCTGAGGGGAAGCTCCAACTTCTGGAATATCCTGTCAGGAAAACACAAAGGAAATGTTCAAACTCAGGTGATATCTCTTCTGTTCTGTAACATTTTTTTTCTTCCTTGGCCGCAAAGGACAAGGGATGCTCTGCTAAAACAGCTGAGCAGATATCAATTTGAACTGCAGTAAGGATAACCCTGGTTTGAATCCCCCACACCATGTTCTTGGACTTGAATTGTTTGGAAAGTTTTCAGGGCCCTTCACCCACTTAAGTCATTCTACTGGAGGTGGACACTGAATTTCTGAAGCTCTGCTATTAAATGACAGTTACAATGTTCAGGGGTGTGGTAAAACCATATCAAACATCACACAGTAAACAAAGAAGACATTCCGTAGTAAGCCAAAGAACAGGCAATGTAATCATCACCACATGCTGAAAACAGTTTTGTAGTAGAGACTAACTAAAAAAAACCAACAACCTATCTCTCTCAAGGCAGGGGGGTAGGGATCCATGAGCCACTTTAATTATGACCTTTATTATCACTGCTTTTGAAACAACTACCACTACTACATATTAGCCCTGCTGCTTCTAACACTGTTCAATCAATTCGTTTCCAAATATTCCTTAAACAAAAGACAAATCTTTAAAAACTGATAAATCGAATGGTCACACCAAAAAAGGCAAACCACTGAGCAAGTTTGGAAAAAATTTGCCACCTCTGTACCAGCTGACTATGCTGCTTTTCTACCTAGATTAAATAAATTCCTTTAACAGAGAAATTCTTAATGGAAATATGTATTTGAATATAAAATAAATAATTTTTCTCAAGACAAGGATACCACCAAAAGCAGCACAAAAAAAGTTTTGCTGCAAAACTAGGACTACTGGAAAGACAACTAAGCAAAATCAATAATAAAGTTCCATAACAGTTGCGTCAGCATTTTAAAAAAATTGCAGACAACTAATTTCATTATCAGCGTGAGTTTCCTGAACAATTTCTTAGGTAGAGAGACTGCAACTTTTCTAAGGTGAAAGAATCCTATTTCTTAACCTGCCTACTGTTACTTGACTCCTTTATGTAAAAAGATGTAAAAATCAGAGTGGTGAAAATATATGCAGGGGTAGAAACATCCTATCACACCTTACTTTCTGGAGGTGCATGTATAAAGCAGGAAACAGCTGCTAAAACATTACTAGATGTACGGAGAAGGAAGCAAAGTGCTATAATTTGCATTAGACATTAGCACTGTAACACTTAATTCTATAGAGTAGGGGTCCATTGAGCTTATAGGACCAATGCACCCATATGAGGACTGCTAGATTTAAATCAATGAGCATTGAGACATGTGCATACTCTAGAGGCCCCAATGGCAAAGTGAGTAGTGAGTTCAGACTCAAAAGTAATGTCAAATGTCCCTGACACGTGGTTTAAATGGGTGGTTACTGGGGTGCATCCTTGAGCAAGACATGACAACCCCAGCTAAACCCCCCCCCAAAAAAAAAAAACCAAGGGCGCTGTACACAGGTGACCAGCAATGGCATGCGTATGAAATTGTTCTGTATTGGAGTAATATTATGTATTTATGTATGCATTTATATAAGTATTTACGAATGTTTGTATTTACAATCATTTATTTATGTATGCATGTTTGCCATTGAAACTCAAATTTCCCCCACGGAAATCAATAAAATGTAATTAATTAATTACATAGAGCATAGAGCATAGAGCATTGCATAAGTGGATATGCACTATAAAAATGCAATCCATTATTTATTATTATTACTATCTACTCAGGTCCACAGAGATCAACTTTTCAGCAGGTCAGAAATACACACCTCTGCTCCTCCACACTGTTTCTTGTACAGTTTGTGGCAGCGCTTGTGGACAGTCACGCGACAGTTGATGCACTTGAATCCTTGGCGTCCCAGACCCCATATGCGATCGGAACAAAAGGCGCAGGCGGCTTTCTGTGGAAACGCATGGATGAACCACTTAAAATTTTACAAGCATGTATGAGAAACTTTTACTTTGCATTCATAAATAATGTTAGGCACAGAGCTTTATCCTGCTAAATAGCAAAATTCAGCCAAAGAACAAGTCAAAATATTTAGATTCACAGAGCAGCCAAGAGAAAGTGACAATCATCCCCTCCCCCTGCTGTGGTGTTCTAGGATTGGACTGCACATTTTTGTCAAGAGTTTCATGGACAAGGGAGAGAACATTTTTGTCAAGAGTCTCACAGACCTATAAGCTCTGCACCTAACACTATTGTTGTATTTTCACAATCTATTCAAGGTTTATCGAAAATATCAAATACATTTATTTGTAAAAGTTCAGCTGCACATAAACAAAAAATCATGAATATTCAGAACACAATTTCTGAAAGCTAAAGAGACAATGGAGAATTTTTCTCAAATGATGTCTTTCTAAATAATTCAATTATGCAGTATGAAGGGAAATAAAACAAAGGAAATTTTCTTACTATCAAAGCTTAGACATTGTAATGCCAACACATAATCAAGTTCTTGAAAAAGTATAATTAATCTTTAAAACATTCTCAGTTACTTCAACGTTTAAAAAGCCGAAAGTTCTGATTTGGGTCAAAAGTATCGATTTAGAGATATGGGTATTTTTGACTTATTCAGATTCTCTTAACCCCCCCCCCCCCCCTTACCCCTTATATTTTTGTTACAAATCAGCCATTTAAGTAGGTAGTCATCACCACCATATTCTTCAAAATTCCCTTTTTTGTTCCTTAATCATCCTTTTTCTAAAAATGCTGTTTTTCTATATATGTGTTACCATGCGGTGGGAATCGGGCACTCATCATCAATTTTTACACATCTGGAGTTATTGGTATTATTTTAAAGCTTGTTCATTGGACTATTATTCTATGAAAATAATATACATCTATCTCGAAGAGAAGTTGAGATATTTGCAATTGAAAGAGGTTGAGGACGCCTAATTTTAGAGGTAAAATTAGCAAGAAAATGACCACATTTCCTAAACTTGAGAATCATTAGAAACTGACAATTTACGCTTGTCGAGCGTTTAAGTAACGTTTTTTAAAGTAAATTCCACATAAAAATATCTCTTTAAATGGACATAACAGGTGATGAACGAATAAAGCAAAAATTAGGGGGCGAAAAAATGCCAAACTGGAGGGAAAATGCCGATATTATAGATTTCATTATTTTGACCAGTGCTTGAGTTCACCACGATGCTTCATATATTATATATTTTTTAAAATAACTCTGCCATTTTTTATCCAATCTTCATGAAATTTCCACAGAATTAAGAGAAGACGTAACACTGTAAAACTGTCTGTAAAATTTACAATATATCGAATACATTTTTGTTGGTGGCGTATGGAGTGTGAACTGATTTACAGTAGCCTTGAATACTGCACCTCAAGACAAAAAAATTCATTAAAAAGTTTGTAATTCCTTTAGAAAAAATTCAACAGTTGATTTTGTAGAGCTACTGCTGCTTATCAAGAATGCAAAACAACAACCAAAGTGAGATATTAGCCTCCCAAGATACAGCAACAAATCCAAAAATGGTCATCATCTCCGTGGCAACAATTTTCAAAAAGTTATTTTGTGTATTAATAAAATCCAGGCAATACTTATTATATATGTGAAATGGGGGGACATGTTGGTACACACATCACCAAGATGGCCCACAATTGTAACCCCTCCCATTCAACAATATTCACAAAGGGGAATAATCAGGCTAATTCATATTCAGGTAAAGGGCAATAACTCTATCATTTATTTTGGGAATGCACACTCAGCAAGATTTTATCAATTCGTACATAAAATTGACTCTTCACTTGTTCAGAAACTACATTCCTTTAGATTGTAATCAAATAAAAATCTACACAATAATAACGAATATTGATAGAATTATTAACCCTTAAAATTCATCCCTCCATTTATACAATCAAAACCATAGCTTCTTAACTAAACGAAACACATAGAAATGATTTTAACCTTCATTCAGATTATAACTCATACTCATCTGTTTTAAACAGTGTTAATTCGATTTATCTAGTGGGGAGACAAACCTCCCTTAATTATCAATAAATGTCGGGATTACCAAGTGTACTCTAGTGCTTGGTAGAGGTGTGCGAGTCCAGCATATTAAGATTCGAGTCCAGACTCGAGTATCTGCTCTGGACTCGAGTAATTACTCGAGTAATTACTCGAGTCCCACGGCTCTTAAGACTCGAGTTATTACTCGAGTAATAGTATCCCGAAAGGGAATTTTAGTGGGTTTCAAAAAAGGTTTTGTTGAATATCGGACAGAAAATAGAGTGCCTTCCTAGGAGGGAGCTTGAGTAGGCTTATGGCAATTCTAGACATATGCTGTTTATACCGTATTTATTTTATTTTATCTTAGGAAGTGGCTATTCTCACCCCAGGTGAGAATAAAAATGTGATCGACCTCTCACCCCGGGTGAGACTAGCCAGTGTTGGCTATTCTCACCCGCTGTGAAACAAAACCGGGTGTTCTTAATTTCTGAATACTTCCTATCGGTGAGGATGATTAAATAGACAAACCCCTTTTTTAAAAAATGATATTATAACACAAAAGTAAAACTAATTTGGTGGTCTACAATGATGCTACGGCTGTTTCACTTTTAGAATAGAGCCGAACTACCCTAATCGGCATTTTGTTTTGCCCAGAAGTTCTCGCTATATCTAGGCTACTCCTCTCTCTCTCTCTCTCTCTCTCTCTCTCTCTCTCTCTCTCTCTCTCTCTCTTTCAATGCCCGCAGATAAAATTGCATGTTTTTAACACAAGAGGACTGGAACGTTTGTTTACACGACAGAATTCAATTTTTTTTAAAGTGTAGATCTAGAATCCTGTGGTTTACACTGGGTATCACATCACGGTAAACGCACACATGAAGAGAATAGCCAAAAGGCTCGCTCTCTCACCCCAGGTGAGTGAGAAGCTTACAACTGTATAACAACTAAGCTAGAATAGAGGTAGTCTTCATCTTATTTTATCTTTTTTTTTTTTTTTTTTTATAATTCTTTGTTACAACAGTAAGAATAAAATGTACACAATCTGTAAACCTCAGACAATGCACTTCATAAAAGAAAGAAGTTTGATTGGTCATCGTGGGTTTCTAACAGTGGTTTCCTTTTTGCTTTTTTCTGGGGGGGGGGTTTCGGTTTTTTCCTTTGGGGAAGGGGTATTTTTTTTTTTGTGTTCCTTTTCCTTCAGTTTTAAAAAGTTGCTTATCAGAATTTTTCTTTTATCAATTCTTAACTTTTTTTAAAACCAAATTTTTCTCCTTTTTTCTGTTTTTCCCCTACAGACTCGAGTCTGGACTCGAGTCCTTACTCGAGTCCTTACTCGAGTAATTTACTTGTGACTCGAGTCTGGACTGGCCGCATGTATTACTCGAGTACTCGAGCCTGGACTCGTTACTCGCACACCTCTAGTGCTGGGCTTGCTTCAAATTTTAGGTGAATTGCGAGCACTAACTCAGTGCTGGGGAGATACCACTATTTAGGAATCGATGCGATACTCGATATTTTTTCAAGGAATCGATTCCATACCGATACTGATACCTAGTAGGCCTGTTTGAACTTAATCGCTAAAAAAAATTTTCTTTACCAATACACACACCATCACCATCCAGTGCCATTCTGCGACAGACATCGGCAATCATGGTTTTCCATTCATTCTTTGGCTCGGATGCTCTCAAAAAAGCTGTTTCCCTGATCTTTCCCTGCTACCCATTTGTTTAGGTTCCCTAAGTATGTTGTTCTGGGCCTATCCCTGCCTCGCTTGCCCTCAATTTTGCCAGTGAGAGCTAGATGTTCAAGACCCTTATGTCTATTCAGGTGTCCCAAAATCCGTATTTGTCGTTTCCTGACCGTTTTTTAACATATTGAGCGTCCCACGTGGGCTTCATCACACCAGGCACCCAAAATCAACCCATCAACCAGAGAATGCAAATGGGTTTTTTTGCCTAATAAACAGTTAACCTGTGAAAGATTATAATCCTTCTCAAAATGTTCCCACACAATGCTAGTCTTTCTTGATGCCATGTTGATTTATAGGCAAAGTTTCTTTTTTTAACCTGATGTTTCGATTGGACTTAAAAACAACAAAAGTATCATCCCTTGGATCAATGAATTGACTGTGAATAATTAGTCCTCATGTATCGATCCTTTTCGAACGTATCGATTCGATTCCGATACCAAGGAGGTATCGGGGTATCGATGCATCGAATCGATTCCCACCCAGCACTAGTCCTCACTACTTGAGTGTGCTGCGCTGTGGCAAGTAGCGGAGCAAACACATATTCTTCCCCCAGTAGCGGACCGACAGTGCACCAATTACAACTGTGTGGGTTTTGGAATTATAAGCGACGCAGCTCTATGAAATCAAGAGCTTGTCAAAACAACAAAATCGGAGAGACGGGAATTTTTCCTCTAGTTTGGACATTTTTATCTAATTTTTTTATTTTCTGGCTTCATCCAATTTATGTCCATATAAAAACACATTTCCATGTAAATTATACCAGAAAATTGTTTAAAGGCACAAAATATATTATTTTTCAGTTTTCAAAGACTGTGGCTATTGGACTTACCAAACTTTGGCAGGCATTTTCTTGCTAAATTCACCACTGAAACCAAGTGACCTCACTTCCTTTAAATGTCGATATCTAGAGTGCTATTCAAGATAAATAGATTTTTATTTCATTGGGAACAAAGCAAATCAGCTTTCAGATGACACCAATAACTCCGAAAGCCGAAAAATTGACCAGCACCGGATACCACCGCGTCATGACAAATATGATGTATACCCAAGGACACATGTACATAACCTTTCTCATAGAATTCATGGTCGACGATACTATTACTACACTAGTAGCCTTCCAGGCTATATTGTACTTGTAGTTTTGATATGAAACCTACAGACACATCAAGACTTCACTAGCTTTTTTGGGGATGTCACAGGCCTACTATTTAATCTAATAAAACAAAAGTGTACACACCATGTTAATAAACATGAAAGAGAACAGAAACACAATAAAGATATTGACCATTTTCATAATCTTCAAATTCTTCTTTTTCAGATGTAGGCTAACAGGATGGGTTTCTCAGTAGTGACGGGCAGATTTGCTAAGCCATTGTTTTCAAACTTTTAAAATACTCTTTGTTCATCTAATAGAAAGCCAAGTTCATTTTCCCCACCGCGCATCAATCGTCACGAACGATCATGTCACAGCCATATCTAGCATCTGCATTTGTCGGGGCCCGTGGCCGCGATATTTTAGTATTTTTTGGTCCGCGAATTTGCATTTTAAAAAAAAAAAATTTTTTTTTAACCCCGCCAAGGAATAAAAAAAATCTAAAACGAACCTCTTTACTTTTATAACGAAAGCTTATTTTCACTTCCGCTTCACTTCGTCTCTTTCTCACTTGTTGATATCACATTGATTTATTATTTTCATGTGAAAAATATGAGATTTATACAAATGTGTTATGTCAGAGCGTGTCTCCACCAAAACAGAATACTGACACAGGCAGGCCCCTTGTGCATGATTTCATAATATACATGTAATATCCTGTACTTTTTCTAGAATTGCACATGTTTAGGATTAAAACGGCCAATCTTTAGATAGGTGAACACATGCCCTTATTTGTTAATTTTTGTGTTTTTATATGTTCTAATTTTGATTTCATTCTGTTGGGAAACCTTTATTTTTTCATGTTTTTACACTCTGTGTGGCTACAAAAAACAAAAGATATTCTTGATGTTTAAAACAGAACACAAGAAATTCTGGTGCTTTAGATTAAGTTACGTCTATCAACATACTGCTATATAAGTCGTCACCGTGAGTTGAAAGATTGAAAATTAAAGGCAACTTTTGCCATTTTTGTGGCAAATTTTGAAAAAAAAATGTCAACAAACACAGATGCTAGCCACATGATACAACATGGACCCCCCCCCTCCCCCCACCCCACCCCCAACCTCCTACTGTATCACACCCCACCCCCTACCTCGCAAGCAGACATATTCCATTAAAATCCTCCCCGCGCAGGAATCAAATTGAGGTCCTCTGTGGGTAAGGGAGATACCCAGTAAAAATTCTACCCATCTAGGAATTGAACGCTGTTCTACTGACAGTGATACTGTGATACTGTGGATTAGTGGTGGGCAGATTTGGGATTTGCTAGTACTTGGTTCGAGGGACACTACCCAAATCCTAGAACTTTTTTGAAGCAGCTTTGATGAAAAAAAAACCACGAAACAGGAAAAAAAAAATTTGCTACAAGTAACATCAACAAGGCAGAAGCATTAAAACAATTGTACACTTACTCTTGAGAAGCGTTTGGCCTGGAATAGGTGACCATTCACTCTGTATAACTTTCTCCACCTTCGAGCTCCACGGCGATACATGTTTCCTGTAACAAAAAGAAAAGCAATCATGTACACCAGCTGAGAAAATCTTACAAATACGTGGCCCTAGCAAATCCCAGACTTAAAATCCTGTTTCCTCAATCCTTCCTCCGATAGAGTATAAGAACCTTTATTATATGAGTGAGAACCCAAATAACTTAACATTTGAACACATCAGTTTTACCAGGCGACTACCCACACTATGACAGGCTTATATTCTTCTTTATCAGAAACAACTGATTTTCTTGTACAAAAGTCCCCAAGCCTTTTCAAGCTCTGAAATATAATAGGTTTAGAGAGAGCTTTTCTGTTTCGTCTGTTTATGACAATTTTCAACTTTCATTTCTAAAAAAGGAGTCGGAGATCACACAAGAATATCAGGGCACACAACCCCCCCCCCCCCCCCCCCCAGCAAACAAAACCCCCAAAGTAAAACAAAGACTTACTGTCTTCTCCTGCACAAGGCAGGCCTGGTCTTGCTGGGACATTTGGAAAAACTGTGAATCAAAACATACAAAACTGATTGCAAAAAGTCACTTTAAGCTGATGAGCCAACATGTGACAGCTAAAAAAAAACACCCTTAAGGAAAGTAAATGAGTTGAAACACGAAGAAAAACACAGGCACAACCTTGTGAATTCCAGAGATCATTTTTTTTTGTAAGTTTTTTTACAGCACTCACAACTGCATTAGGTCATATGAGCGCACGCGACACATTAGACATTTTTCAGTATGGCAGGAATTAATTTTGAATTTTGCCCGGGTGGCGGCTGAAGCCTACTCTTGTCAATTTTGGACCACCAAAGGGATCTTTATCTTGCTTAACTTGCACACGGGACCTCCGAAATTTTTCATCCTTATCCAAGAAGGCTACGTGTTAAATCTTATCTACTCTAAGATCAGGGGTGTGGCTGAAGGACAGCTCTATGAAAGAACCATGGAGTAGCAGTAGAAAGAATGCAGAAAGAGTCAGAAGCCCAGAGGAGGGGGAAAAGGAGAGGGGGGAAGGGGAAGAAAGTGGAGACGAAAGCAGGTAACAGAACATGGTAAGAGAGCAGGAAAGGACGTGAAAGGAGAAGATTTTTAGAGAAGAAATCAGTCAGGTTTCAAACCTGGGACCAACTGAATGAGAGCAAACACGATAACTTCTTGACCACGAGAGCCCCCATTCAAGAGATATATAATACCTTTCAGGATAAACAAGGAGAGAGTATCCTGACATTCCGAATACTATAATACGGATTATTCACAGCAGGTTGATGAGAGGTGGTCTAGCAGCTCTAACTTCTTCACTGCTCCCCAGGCTACCATTCCCATTCCTAGCACAAAATTTCCCTCTCAATGCCAATGAGCTTCTTTTTAACATAAATCTTACCTGCTTCTTCTCCTTCAGTCTGATGAAAACCAAACTGGAAGCCACAGACTCAGAAATTCTTTGTTTAATAAGCCATGACCTTAAGAAAACTATAACTCCTACTAAATAATTACAATATCACATTATTGTTACTAATAAAAGAGGTCATCCTGAGACAGTTGGTCCCCTTAGACCGTCATAAATTCTAGATGGGATGTTGGAAGAGGTCGTTTGTGCAGGTGGTTGTAAGAGAACATTTGATTCCTAAGCATAAATAGTACAAGTTTCATAATTATTATTGTATCTTTGGAAACATCTAAAAGAAGAGTTTACTCAAACTGCCACAAAGAAATGTGCACAAAGATACCATTTTACCACCATTGGGAACCCACTGAGAACTGTTTTACCATCAAGGCAAGGTTTAATTACTTTAGAATCAGGGCACACAAGGAAAACCCATTGAAAATAAACAATAATTTAGTCCTTCAAACGATCCCAACCAAACAAAGACATACTGAAACTTCATTTGCAATCTCCAGTAACACTATTTTTTTATTCACAAAAGAGAAGTTAAATTTTTTTTTTTATCTGATGAAATAGAGTGGTAATGAGTGCAAACCAATGGCCACAATTGTCAATGGAGAAGAAATAAATAACTTGCTTATACTGCATCCAAATAGAAATAGCTTTCGTTGGAACCAGTGTTCTATTCATAATAGTTGTACTTTTTCCAGTTCACTTCATGAAGAAATGTCTCTTTCACAAATTTGTAGAAACATAGTCTATGGTATTATTGGGGATTATTTCCCATTCTACAAATTCATGGCATATATCAGGATGGCTGCCTGAGAAGAGACAAACAGAAGCACAAGAGCTATGACACTCACTGTGTATGTTAAGCTCAGAATCCTTGTTAACCTCATACAATCGAATAGCCTCATTCAATTCAATTTGAGATGAAATAGTACATGGATCGCCTGCAAAAGAGTAAAAATTCTTTTCAGTCATAAACAAGCACTGGAATATAAATAAGGATTGACTGGCCTATAAAAATACACAATCATGAATCAAAGTGGCCTGAAATTAAAGAAGTAAAAAAAATCATCCTCTAAATGCAAATTTTGCATCATTAAAATATGATATTGTATATCATTTTTTTTTTTAGGTTGGCCAATTACACTAGTCTCAAGCTCTGGCTAAAAAACTAAAATGAAAGACAAATTTCACAGCTGACCTCCTGCTTCCTTGACACTGTTTTATCCTCTTAATCATCCGTGGGTTTACTTGTAAATTAAAATCATTATTGTCAAAGCATCAAACTTAGTCCTGTGATAAAATGTCCTGAGCTTTTCTTGTCGAAACTGTAACTCAGAACATCTTCGAAAGATCTGAAGACCAGTAAAATGTGCACTGAGCATAAAGACAGGACATGATTAAATTTTAAAAGCTGCAACGAAGCACATTAAATTTAAATGACTAAAGTTATTGACAGATGGGATACCCATATCAAAGGAAATCGCATACATATTATGTATATATACTATATATACTAACAATCATATGTCTTTGTTATTGGTCCAATATTCGACAGCATCTAAAGTAAAGAAGAATGTAGTATTTCTAATTTTTAGAAAGTAAACTTTTGAAATACAAACATACCTTCTTCATCCAGCCATTTCACTGTAAATGGCTGAACATCATCAAATTTACAAATGTCTTTGATTTCAGCACAGAAGTCGGGATATTTCACATCATTTTTTATGTTGGTGACCAGTATATTTCTGAAATTAAGCAAAAGTACAATAGACAGGCCTATTGAAACACAGGAATCAAAGAGGAAACCAACAATTTCATCTAAAAAATAAAATATTATTTCAAATAAATTTCATGACTTTGCTGAGCTTCTTCAAAAATTATTTTTGAAAATATCTAGAAAGGAGAGATAGTGGAGATCAGCCACTTTAAAAAATGATAATCGTAGTGATAGTGACTCAGTTTACAGCACTGAAAAGATGTCCATTCAGTACTCTTTGCTCCTTGTTTTCATATGAAATCTACTACGTTAGCGACAAAATCTGGGCCAAGAAAAGTCTTATCTACTAATGAGACAAGGCCCATACACTGGAGTAGTAAACAGAAGATTAGTACAAGACTTCCTATTCATACACTCCATAGCCTCTTGGTGCAGCTAAATTTCATCTTTCTACTCATTTCAATGTGCACAAACCATTTTACTCTGTACAGTCTGCAAAAATAAAAGATTTCATAACTGCATAAAAAGACACACTAACTTTGCCAAAGCAAGCATGCAACGAAAACAAACAACAGAAAATTATGTTTATCGCTTTGGAATCCCTAACAAAATGAAACTATTGCCTTTAAAACTCACTGTGAAACAACACTAATTAATAATGATACCACAGTAACAAAGCAAATAAATGCAAGGTTAACTAAATCATAGCATACCCATTGTATCCCACTTTGATCCGGACAGAATTGTCCAACTCGTCAACCTCAAGGGTGGGCATCTTGTCCAATTCTGTTGCCCAGGATTGAAAGGTAGGCCTCTTTTCAGTTAAAAAAACAGTGGGTGATAGTTTCAGCTGAAGACGATAAAAAGTTTCATGAATGTTAAACTTTTTTAGTAATAAACCTATGGCTTCTCAAATTAAACTGACTGACATAGAAACTACTGATCTAATCAATATTCGGAGAAAAGAATTCTCCTTCCCATGATTATTAATTAGATTAGTAGTTTTGCTTCCCTTCTCAATATTTTTATCATCATGAATTATAAGACGATGTACACAACTAACTGTTACTGCACTATTCACAATTCATTTCATGCTGTAGAATTTGAAATAAATACTTCTGATATATATATAATATATATGATATATAATAAATTTCATATAGACATTGTCCCTGATGCAAGACTTGTAAAGACAGAAGCCCAAAATTTGATATAATGTTAAGACAATAAACATTCAAACATCAAGTTACAATATAAAGACACACAATACAAAGCTATTCTTGGCATCATTTTCTGACAGCAGGGCCAACTTTTATTACAGAGCATTTATTTACTCAAAAACTCATTTTATCAACCGAGCTGATTTTCAGTTCAGTTGAATCTCTTGCCCAGTATTTCCGTCTATTGTAATCTCAAGAATCATAGAAATAACATTATTATACATGAGAAGAATAATCATAACACTTAAGACTCTCAGATTTTCAAAAAATTTCACAAGTGATACCAATCTGAGTCAAGCAGAAAAGTCAGAGAATGTGAAACATTTGGTTGAGGTCCAATCCAGATTTAGACTCTTGATATGAGAAGTCTACTAGAGCAGGGCAGAAAGTGAAAGGGAGGTATCTGAGATCGACACGTGTGACTCGACTCTAAGAAGGCAGCCTGTGTTGTCTATTTTGTTTGTTAACTAGGCTTAACTATTTTTTTGCTTTATAACATAATGAACAGCGTACTCGAAACATCGCAAAAATATTTTTAAAATCTTAGCTTCGTGACATGCGTACCACAGACATGAGGGAAGTTGGCAAAATTTGCTAGTATAGATAGAGATAGATTTTACTACTGGACTTGCAAGTGATTGAGAAACACAGGTCTAGTCTTGCAAATACGGAAGCCTGATCTTGTCAAATGTACACCAAAGCCAAAATGAGTGAAAAAGGCTGAAAACATTTCCCTTTTTGACTTAAAATACTTCGCTTTGCAAGTTGTTTCCAATTATGGGGACTATAAATTATAATTGGAATATAATATGAAGATGAAGAAGGAAGGTGACACTCAGGGGTCGAAAATTTATGTCAAGAGTGGGCCTGACCCAGACCGTTCAGTGTTCAGCATGTCAACTGACAAGAATGCCTTCCTGGAAGACAAGTTTCTATTAGCAGAAAATTAATGCTGACAGTAAGTATGAATGCACAATCCCTGGCCTTGGCAACGTCGGGGTTTAGACAAAATATCATTAAAAAAATAAAATCTCTATTAGAGACATCAGCCCTTGGCGCTACCGTGCCCTGAGCACGACCAGTTCCCCATTTTTCCTTTTGAGCAGCTTGTGTGTAATCTGTTTTATTAGAGTTATGTGCCTTGTCTAGTTCCACTTTTGGTCAATCCTTTTCCAAGGATGTCAGTCATCTGCTAGTGTAGCAATCGAGTTCGAAGTGAAAGGCTTATCAGAAACATTCTTCGAGAAGTCTTCTTCAGTTACTAAACTAGAGTAGCTGGCCCAACCCGTGACCACTTGTCTCTACACCCTCTGTTTAATAAGATAATTGTTTTCAGCATAATTTGCTAAAATAAATTTTATACTAACCTTTCAATAGTGTACTAACAACATTCTTGTACCTGTTAAATGTATGTGCGCGCATGGTCGCGCCCCGCTTCGTATGCGTTCGCGCTGAGGGCATGCGGTCGCGCCAAGGGCAGAACATTAAATTGCTTAAAAAATGCAAAATCTGCGAATGACGTTTTGGAATGAGCGACGATATCACGGTATAAACCGGAAGTTGACACACTGAAGCGGCCCTGAACATGAATTGCCTGACCTATTTTGTCGACAGAGACTGCTGAGAAGCAAAATACGACAAGTGGTAGCGGGTTGGGCCAGCTACTCTAGATCTAGATCTCTATAGTAAGTTAGTATTCTAGACGGTAAGATTGAACATTGGTGGACTCAACACTGAACAGAGCCAGAACTACTTTTGAGCTTAGCTGTGCAATAATGTTCCGCTCTTATGTTTGTTTTGCACTAATGTGTGTTTTTTAAAATTATTATTGTTTCCAGGGGGGCAAAAAAAACAAATAACACCTGGGGCTGGGGGACAAGCCCCCTGAAATCCTCCACTGTTGTTATAGCTAGAGTGCGTATGATATATGAATGATGGAGTTCAATCAAGCCTAGATCTAGATTCTAGTTCTAAAGTCTAGATCTAGATCTAGAATATAGATCTAGATTTACATCTAGATCTAATCTAGCCTTCTATTCTCTAGGCCTCCTATAGATCGACAATGTTGACTGCTGCTCTGGTTCTGAACGAGATTTAGAATAGATCTATAAAACCATCCATAGCGTAACGGTAACGTTCAAACACTAGAATCTAGATCTAGAAATCTAGATCTAAATCTAGACCTATGTAAAATTGTCCAGTGCATTTGCAAAATATGTGTGTCCAACCTGAAGAACATACAACAATGCAGATTCTCTCTGACCAAACCGTAAAAAAGCCTCAACTCTCAACAACAAAATAAACAACAGTTCCAACAAAAACAGTAAACAGTCAACAGAAGACTGGGCATCTGTAAACAACGAGTTTGCAGATACAGAGAACTGGGATATTTATGTTCCTTGAGCGTAGGCAATACAGTTCCTGAACAAATGGTCAACAATAACAGCCCAACATCAGTTAAAATGACAAGAAGAAGCAAGAAGTAAATAAGTGTAGCCTACCTCCGTTAGGGCTCTAACTGGGGCTAAGGCGGAAATGGGACAGGACAATGGTCGGTCGATGCCAAATGCGCAGGAAAGGGGCGCAACCGACACACCAAAACGGCAAACCCAAACCGGAACACAGCGAAACAGATGATGTCGTATTACATTCACTTCGCATTAGCAGTATTACTAATAATTATAGATCAAACGGGCACATGTAGTTTTTTTTTCGTTGATCGTGACATGGTCATTTAGCTGATATAATTTTTGCTTTTGTTTTTGTCTACTTATAGTTCTACATTTTTTATTGAAACTATTTTTGGATTACTGTTACTGCTGCTGCTGTCGTTCCCCTTTTTTTAACTTCCACAAAAAAGTGTAAATAATAATTGCATGGATAAACCATTGTGAAATTAGGTTGTAAGTTATTGGTTGTTTTTGTGGGTTTTTTACTTTTTTTCTTTTGGTTTATTTGAATGAATTTTTCATTCCCATGAATTTGTCCATGCTTGTGATGATTCACACTGGGTTGTTTTTTGTTTTGTTTTGTTTTGGGGTTTTTGGGGTTTTTTTAATGGGAGTTCTTTTTTTTTGGGGGGGGGGGGGGTAAATAAGGTCTATCCACTAGTTCTATCCCTTTGGCTTGGAAGTTAAATTTGGAGGTCCCGATAATTAAAATACTTCAGCGTTGAAAGGAAACCGTACAATTTTGCATTTTTTTGTATTGACTCCCAGTCTTTTTTATCGTACATTACTGTCATAAACACAATCTAACGCTTTACAGCCCCTTTCTTTGGCGTGGCCTAGAGTCTAGGCCTTCTCAGTCCGTGGCCCTATGTGTTGTACTCGTAATCTAATGAACCCTGATTTGGCAGCTCTTCTTTGCCAGTTTGCTGCAAGCGATTGGAGATTTTCTATTTTAAGAAACTAGAACAGAGGGAAAAGCCCCTTTCATGCCCTTATATGGTAAAATTCAGCCTGTATTTATTCATTGGTTGACAAACATTTGGGAATCCCCTCATTGCCCGGATGGAGAAGCCATCTTGTGTGAAGGAAACACTTCCTGGAAGGATACGTTGTGTAGCCAGTGCTTGTTGTACGGCAAAATATGGTCAGTTTTATGTAACTCGAGTATTATTATTGCATTTAGTCTTTTACTCTTTGAGTAATTGTGGTATGTGTGTGTTTTTCATTGCATGTATTGTTGAATGAACCAGTTCCGCCCTGCTGATTGCCGGCTTTTTTTCTGTTGTTATGCCTCGGTCATTTCTTTCAGCAAGCGGAAGAGGGAGAAAGTGAAAGGGGGCGGGTACTAATGAAATCTGTAATTTCTATCATGTGATGTGGCAAATCATGTTCATTCAATCGCTAGACTACTAGTTATGTCAGTTTAGGCAGTGTGCTGGTTTTATAATTTGTTTGGTAAATATTTTTAGTTAAATTGTTGGTGCATGTACAGATTTTAAAATCTGTTCTTGAATCCAAAAAACCTTAACTCTCGAACGAAAGTCAAAGTGTTCATCATGGCATTCGTGCTGTTTTAGAGTGTTAGAGTTAGCAGTTAGCGTGACACGGTGACTCGGACTCAGACTGTATCCTGTAGTCTGGTGTAGTTGTATTGTGAGTAAGACGAGACTGAGAATAGTTGGACAAAGTTGCACCTGAGGCTAGGCTAAGGCCAACCCTAAAAAAATCAGAGTTCAATAAAAGTGTCATTTATAGCGTTTGCTGCAGTTTGCATCATGTGGCATTTCTCAAAGCTTGCACACTCTATACAGTACAGTAGCCAACAGTGGTCTATGGCTTATAGTACACCAATAAAAAGCATGATCGATCCTGAACACGCTGGCAATATGGAACAAAAATGTTCTTTTATAAAGAAAGTGGCTATTCTCACCCGCCCGGAAGTTCTCGCAAGATCAACTCCTCCCCTCTTCTCTCTCTCTCTGTCTCTTTCTGAATACTGTCTATCGGTGTGGACGATCAAATTGACCAAAACAAAGTTAAAAATGATGTTAAAAAACAAAAGTAAATTAAT